TCAGAACTCTCTGTTCTACCAAATCTTCCTAGGAGATCTCCTTGGTTTTTATTACAAAAATGCTCTATTCCTCCAAGAGGTTTTGTCATTCCCCCCCTTAGAGAACTTGTTGTACTGTAGTGTGACTGCAGGATTATTTGCTTGCCTCCTCTCCTGTGTCCTGCCTTGAGGAGTAGGGCTTCGGCCTCAGACATTGTTATTGGCCCTCTTACTTGCTCCTCCTAGACTCGGAGTATCTTCCATGCTTGGTGACAGTGACAGAATGATGCGGAAGGCTCACAGGTTCAGTGTACTCCCTCCTATCCACAACTTGAATCTCTGCCATTATACTCTCTAAATCTGTTAACCAGTGGCCCGTTGAGTCGATTCTGACTCAAAGGCTAGAACCGTCCCATAGGGTTTCCAAGGCTGTAATCTTTACAGAAGCAGACTGCCAAGGAGATGCTGGTGGGTTCAAATCACTGACCTTTTCGTTAGCAGCCCAGAGCTGTAACCACTGTGCCACCAGGGCTCCTTAAATCTGTTAAATGTTTCCCAAAACCCTATCCCAGTTTGTCCTTTCGTTCTGTGGTCTCAAAAACATCAAAAGTCTCTTTCTTTTCTCTCTCGTTCATCTTTCCTGCATCTCCATGAATCCTGTTCTTGCTGCTCAAGTCAATCATGTGTCATATTTTTTCTTTTTTACCAAAAATACAGAATGTAAGGAAAAAAGTTCAAAACAGCTACAGTTAGATTTAAAATACCCATTTCCCACATACATTATGTAACCTAGGAGTCTCCCTAGTGAATAACGTTCTTTTTTCTCGATCCATTCTACCCATCAATATACACATGCCAAAATCAAGCTGGACAAATAGTAGATGCTCAATCTGTCTTGAAGGCATAAATGAAATACTTGCATGATATGAAAACATAAACTTTGCTCCTTCCCTTTACTTTTTCACTATTTCCAGAAAAGTAAATATGTTTTAAACTTCATGAAGTTCAAAAAGAATTCTATGCAATTTTATTTTCATTGTTGCAGGTTTTCTTATATACAGCATCACTTGCAACCCATAAACTCATTTTGTTAATAAATAATATTTCAAATACTCATTTATTGCTAAAACTATCATCTCATGTTAGACATTCTTCCTTCAAGAAAATACTCTAAGGGGTTAATATTTTATTTAATTAGTTATTCACGAAACAAATGATTGAATTATCTCTTTTCCAAATGACTTGGAACTAAAAAGAATTCACCTTTAGTGTAACTCGCAGTTTCTGTTCTCAGTTAGAGGCAGTATATCATGCATAGTTTCTGCATCCAAATTGTTCAGTTCTACTTCATGGTCCCTGCACACAAATTGGTCACCAGGTGACACTACAGTCACTAACCTGAAAATCAAAATATATTTATACATCTTGGAAAAGCTCTCTTTGCCTTGGAATATTTAAGCTAAAAGTTTCCTCCTATTGTTCTTTGGTCAGTGTAGTTACAATATTTATTTCAAATACTAAATAAGTAGAATTTCTATTATAACATATATTCCTTAGGGTAAATCACTACCAAGACCAGTTAAAGCATATCAGTGGCTCACAACTTAAAGCTACATAAAAATGATAGAAAAACTTCAAGGATAGAAAATGTTCAAGCTAAAGGGAGGCATTGAGAGAGGCACATTTGTGTTTTCATTGAAAGGAATGAGTAGCTATGAGAACAGTTCAAATATAAATACTAAAATAAGCATTTCTAACAAATGGAAGCAAGAACTGTTGCATGCCTATTTAATTGAAGAAGAATCTGCTAATCTGAAATAGCTAATTATGATTTCAAAATTCACACGTACAAATACAAATATAAGATTTGCTTCTTACATGCTTTCATTTTCAAGCAAGAACACTTATCAATATCTGTTACAGTTAGTTGCTTTTGGATGCTGGCAAAGAACAATAACAAGCCTACTAAAGAAAATATATTAATATGTCTACATGGACATACGGGTAGTAAAGGGAAAGACACTAATTCTTTTCACTGAGCAAAGTGCTTATCAAATATTCTAAGCAATCATAAACCTACATATCAGAATCATTAGCTGTCTTTGTTATATAATCCAGTACAACTAAGTAATACAATGCTCTGTACAACACTTTCAGACAATGTCATAATTAAAAAAACCTACAAAAGATATTCCTGACACTAGTAATTTAAGCTAAAGTCATAAATTAGTGAATCTATATTTTGAGAAGATAAGACATTTTCTGTCATTGTGCAATGATAATATATTGAAGAGGTTTAGCACAGAGATATTTCATAGAGATATTATTCATAATTGAAACATTTCCTACTCAGTCAAATCTGTGATGTTTTCCTTCAGGCCATAGCATCATAAAAATTTTTATAGAACTTATAGCCAGAAGGAAAGTTAGAAAGTATTTACTTTCAATCATCTTCATCCTAGTTTTTAAAAAAACTATTTTTCCGATTATAAAGAAAATCAAAACCTACTGAAAACTTTTTAAAATATGGAGAACTACAAAGATATAAAAAGAAATCAATCATAATTATAACAACTGAAGATAATTAACATAATTCTGTATATACAGTTTTTCATTTTTATGTATTTACTGAAAATTATATCATGAATATTATGTCATTAAAATTCTTCATAAAAATAGTTTTTAATGACTGCATAATATTTCATACTCTGGATGAACCATACTTTATTTAACTATACTTCTATTTTAGAATGCTGAGGATGTTCATTACAATTTTGATAAATATATTCATACAAAAATTTTTACTCAGTTTTTCAATTATTTACTCAAGATAGATTCTGAGAAGGAAACCTTCGCTTTATACATGAGGAAATTTAGGTCAAGAGAAGTTAAGTGATGGATAAGGTCTATCACCAAGACTGGAGCCCTGGTGGCGCAGTGGTTAAGAGCTTGGCTGCTAACCAAAAGATCAGCAATTCGAATCCTCCAGCCGCTCCTTGGAAAGCCTATGGGGCAGTTCTACTCTGGCCTGTAGGGTCTCTATGAGAAAGAATCGACTCGACGGCAATGGGTTTATATATATACACATACATATCCATTAAAAAAAGAGGAGAAGAATCACTAGTAGGTTTGTCACTTTGACTCAAATTACTGATTCAAACAATAATTAACAAATAGATTTCATTTAAAACATGATTTAAACCAAGTGGCATTATTAAGCACTGCACACAATATATTTATGTTACTGTTTTGCATGTTGTAGTCTCTTATTATAATAAGCACAGTAAGATTGTCCTATGCACATAGTTTTCACCTTTTTTTTTTTTTAAAGATATAAGTGCCAGAAGACGCTTTCACACCTGATGCACTTTCATGGATTACTCATGGTTCAGTGGTTCAAAATAAACACTGTTAAGTACAGAGCGGGAAGGAAAGCCCAATCAGAGCGGCACAATAGAGATGACGCATTGAGGATAATGTGCAATTCCCAGTGTCATGCCGGCCAACTCTATCATTTTCTCTTCGAAATGAGAAAGCATATGGGATATAAGTGAGCGAGAATAATATTCATTATGTAAATACCATTGATTGGCTACAGTTCAATAATAAAGAAGAACCAAACCGATCTCAAACGTTAGTGTTTTATTATTAGTAACTAATTATTTACCACACCCTGCACAACTGAGAGCAAAGCAACAACGTTTTCTAATACTTCATTCCAGAATCACTATCCTAACCAATCAAAACCTGAACCAAAGCTAACTAATATTTTAATGTGGGCTTGAGTAAGAACATGTTATATTTTACAGACTTAATTTTATAGATGAAAGAGAAACAAAACCACTATTAAGTTATTTATTTTCACTTTCAAGTTGCTGAAAAATTTCTTTATAACAGTCACTTCTACTACACTGTAAGTGACCTAAAATATTTCCAATCTGTCTCATTTTTGGTACGCCCCACGAAGAATACATTGTATTTTTATAACAATTATCACTCAAAGGCAAGGAAAGTCCTTACAAGTTTTTATTATGATTGCAACTAGAAATAAGAAGTAGAAGTAGTCCCCTAAAGTTTTCTTCCACCTATCCATAACATTTATGCAGCCTCAGCTCTATTACTGTATTTTTAGCCAAAGGTGGATCAAAGTGTCTGCATCTTTAGTGGCTATGAAGAGCCCCTCATAATATGTGAAGGACATTGTTTCAATAGAGACCACTAACATTTAATTTTAGACAAACACTATGTGGATCATTTTATTTTAAATATCTGAAGGTACTCAGCATTAAGTTACAAATATATAACAGCTTTATATATGTCCAGCTTTATGAAAATGTAATCAGTGAAGATCCAAGCTTTTAAACAAACATAGGTAACAAGATATCAGGTGCAGTTTCCATTAACTAAAAGATTCTTCACTTTATAATTATTTCACTTTTTATAATGAAGGGTTCAGAAATAGATTATTTCTCTGTACATTCAAAGTGAATAAAATTTACAAATATCAGCTTAGTCACATATTTTATGGTGCATAAGCATGGAATAAGGAATGTCTGCATTTCTGCTATAAATACTTATAAAATGTTACTTACCAATACTATGATTTCCATTAGACTTGCATTTTTAACTACCAATTTAGAAAAATGATGCCTATAGATCCTTTACACAATAAGTCTGTTAAACGTTCATTCATAACATAAGCTACGAACATTCCTGTGGAAGAAACAAGGCCTTCCAATTGTGACCATCTGGTCAGTGGAAAGCATCTTTTGGTACACTGTAAAAAGTCTAAGTTCTTTTCTATGAAACACGACACGCACACACACCTACATACATGCACACACACACACACACACACACACCTTGATAGTTGACGTTATCTATCCATGATATTTAAAAGGAAATTTTTAATCATAAACTGATCTACCCTACATTCATAGCTTAATTATGTGAGCAACCTATCTGGCATGCTTTTGCTCCAACTTCTGAAATACAGTTATATCAGTGACAAGATGACTTACCGGCCCAAAAGAATTACTGTCAAAACTGTGTCCATGATGATCTCCTTCAACCCAGATGTGACCACGTGGGACTTTGACATATCGGTTTTTGTGACCCATGGTTCTAGAAACAAACAGTATAACAAATGAGGTAAGAACAGAAAGGAGATCAAAGATCTAAGCGTACAAACTCAAGAAAGGGAAAAACACCGTAATAAAGATGCAACAGATTAACCAGGAAACTACTGCACAACTTCATTCTTCGGTAACACCCCGTAACCCTATCCACAATATTATTCTTTCATACTTCTGCAGGTAGGAATTTTATGCCTCAGTAAAATGTACCATCACCATATATAACGAATTGGTACTTACTTTAATTCACAATACTTTTTATATATGTACTCATGAAATTTAATTGCTATTGTTAGGTGCCATCGAGTTGGTTCCAATTCAGTGACCCTATGTACAACAGAACGAAACACTACCTGGTCTTGCCCTATCCTCACAATCATTGTTATGCTTGAGCCCATTGTTGCAACCACTGTGTCAATCCATTTCATTGAGGGTCTTCCTGTTTTTCACTGACCGTCTACTTTACCAAGCATGATGTCCTTCTCCAGGGACTGGTCCTACCTATGAAATTCAATGCCCTAACAAAATACAGTTCTATTTATTTTCTAGCATTTGCTTTTACATCCTATCCAACTTTTCCAATTTACTCATGGCCTGCTGCAAGATTCATTTTTAGTCAGATGAACTTCTCAAACTGACATCACTTTTCATAACCTGTTAATATTCTAAAACTCAGCATACATGAGAAAGAAAAAAGAAAGAAAATAGCCTAGATGATCTCTTGTTGAATACAAATTACCTACTCAGTTGGAGATTTTTAATCAGTACTAGTTGATTTCAATAAATGATTCTTAAAAATGATAAATTCTTATTGTTTAAACATTTTGAAGACTTTTTAAAGACGAACGATGATACACACTCGGGAATTTTGTTTATTCTGAATGCTGGCAAGTAGATAGAGTAATTACGGGAAGGCTCTCTCACACACTGTTGGTGACAATGTAAAATGATGTCACTTTTTTGCCAATTTTGCCTATTTTTGGCAAAATTATTCAGAGACTAAAACATTCATACCTTTTAACCTAGCTATTCTACTTGTAGAAATTCATTTTAAAGAAATAATCAGAAATATGAACAAAAATTTGTAATCAAGGGTGTTCGACACAGTCTTTAAAAAAAAATTAAAATTTGCCTAAATATCCAACAACATGGGATTGGTTAAATAAATTGTGATACAAACAATCAAATAAATAAAAGAGACAGGACTGGAATAAAGTATTTTCCCAATGACATAAGAATAAATTCTTTCAGGGGCAAAGGCTATCTTTTTTCTTCTATTATTTCCCAAAGCACTCAGGAAAATGCCTAGTCTAAAGAAACTTCTTAATAAATGTTGGCTGAATGAATGACTGATTGAATGAATATCATCCCCAAGGCTACAGAGTTAATCCTAGAACTGTATTTAGCACATTGCTGTCTGAGCTGGAGATCTGATGAGACCATTTCTGTTAGTTACTTATCAAGTTGTATATGTGCAAAAGAATACATTAATAAAAAAAACTACATGTAATCTGGTGCTATAGAAATTGAAACTATTCATTATCTAGGATGATGGTCTTTAATTTCAAGATAATTTCAGTGTTGAATTACTCTGCTTTCGATCTGTAAATCATTCATGCAAGGAAGCAACATTGTGGCCATTAGAGGCCCACAGCAAGTTAATGAGAGCTGTTTGTTTTTAATTACTACTGGGAAGAAGGCTTTCAGCTTTTTAAAGAAAAGCAAAAACAAGTTGAACACATCTTACCATCATATGCTCTGTAATATAAGTGTTCTTCAATTAAAATCAGTCAATTAGTTCTTAACATCACTGCTGCTTTTATCATGAAATCGCCTTTAAGAACTAATATCACACATATAGTGTCAATGACAGGGAGAAGCCCCTTGTACTTAATTGTTGGCAAGGCACACTCCCCAAATAAGTCCAAACATTCATTCACTTTATTCAATTGGGCATTTTGGGTAAATATATAGAAAGAAAACAAGTACCCCTTTTTGTTTCTTCAAATAATCATTTAAACAGAATTACAAAGTAAAACTAGGATAAAATCATCACTACAACGAAATGATAGTAGTCTTCAAGAAACCAGTAAAATGCTATAAAACCCAGACTGAGTTTCAATGTCATATAAACCAATAGTCAAGATATTTGTGATAGAAAATGACAATATCATAAAATTACTAGTGGCAGTTCTACATTTCCTTGCATTGACCATCTTATAAAATCTAAATACATCTTCTTTTCCTCATCATTTTGTAGCATCTTACAATGCTTTATTTTTCTTTATAGCACTTATTAACAGTTGGCATACATTTACTGGTTTATTTATTCATGCCTATCTTACCCCACTAGAATGTAGTCTACAAGAACAGAAACTTGGCCTTTTTTGTTCACTTAATTATTCCCAGATCCCAGAAGAATGCATTGCATAAAGTGTTCAACAGATATTTGTTAAATGAATAATTGAACAGTTGAATAACTAGAATGAAAAATACTGCCACAAAGGCAGAAGAAGACAGGAGAAAGTGCATAGTATCTGCAAACAGGAAAAAAAAAAAAAACTGTTTTAGATCTTGATACTATTACTCACAAGTAATCTTGTGCAAGTTACTTAGAGTTTCTACCTCTTTATTTGCATATCTTTAAAATGGGATGGATAAGACACACCCTCATCGGGTTGAGGTGAAGATTAGTAGTTAGATGAGAATATAAGGGAGATGCTGTCTTAGACCACAGTCTCTGAACTCAGACTATCGTGGCTTTTATATCAAACTTAACACTATCGAAAGTATGTGACCTTGGGAAAGTTGTTTGAAAACTCCAACTTCCAGTTTCTTCAGTTATGGAATTGGGTACATAATAGTACCTAACTCAAAAAGCTGTCCTAAAGATAAAAGTGGGACATATCAAACACTTGATAAGTGGATGATCTTCTTGTAGTTGAGATTGTTTTTAAGTAAAGCACTCAGTATAGTTACGCTGCATAATAAGAACCCAGTAAGTGGTAGTTATTATTGCTATTGTCTTCCTTTGTCCACTACTTTTCATTTTTTAATTCAGAATGTGTTCAGCCTCTGCTATCTATTAGCATCAGTCTTTTAAAATTACCTGAACTACACTTCAATAATTTCCGTTCCCACAATTGGGCTGTGACTACAGACTATTTTTAATGCTAGAATGAATCTTTTTTCTTTCTTTCTTTTCTTTCATCCTTATGTTCTTCTGGGATGCTCTAAAACTCACATCTGAAAATGCTATCAGTTGATGCACATTCAAATACGCAGAGACTATCAGGTGAAAACATAACCCATGTATTTGTGTTTTTACCTGCTGGTCTCTGCATATTTGAATGCGACTCTACCAATAGAGAGTGGTTACCTAGAGACCCTACAGGTGTGAGAGAACTCTAAACTGTTGAACCCTGCTAAAATTCATGCTTAGTTCATATTCTATTTCTCAAGTTTCAATCTAACTTTTTAAAGTATAACCCAAAGTAGCTTTAAAGCATATGATGTTAAAATACTGGGCTGATTCCTTTTAAGACAGAAAAAGAAATGTAATACTCCTAATAGAATTTCTCTAGAGAAGGAATTTTAAATAGCCTGTGCTCCTGAATTCACGTAAGAGAAAGACAAGATAATCTTTCCGGTGATTTAACAGTTAACTGAGGTGTCAGCCCACAAGATTGTAGTACCATGGCTTGCAAATAATTCTGGTTTGGACAGTCAAAAATGAATTCTGTATGGTATTCTAACTACCTGTCTACAAAAAGGCATTTTTAGTACTAGCTTTACCAAGACAAGTTACCCAGGTCTTATAAATGGAATGAAGAATGATTGCCTCCAATTTGATTTGACCTTGAAAACAATGTTTTATAAGGTCTCTGAATCTTCTGAGTGTCAGCAGTTGGTACTGAGGATGTAATCCTTGATACCACTAGAAGGGGACAAATTCATATTTAAAATACTTCCTGAACACACACACATACACATTTTTAACTTAAAACCAAAAAACCAAATCCATTGCCTTTGAGTCAATTCTGACTCATAGTGATTCTATAGGACAGAGTAGAAAGGCCCCAGAGGGTTTCCAAGGCTGTAACCATTATGGAAGCAGACTTCCACATCTTCCTCGCTTGGAGCACTGAGTAGCTGGTGGGTTTGAACTGCCAACTTCTCAGTTAGCAGCCAAGCGCTTAACCCCTGCACCACCAGAGTTCTTTCATTTTTAACCCAGGTAATTATAATTCATGATTAACTGATGGTTTTCTTATTTATTTTTCAATTTACTCTATTCATTGTCCAAATTAACAGCTATTCTGAGGATGTTTACTGCTACCTGCAGCCTAAACTCATGAAGGGAATAGAAGTCAAGGCCTTAGGATCCCACAAGATCAGGAGTTGGAACTAGTTTTCTTTTACCATCATTGAAAGATTGGTCTAGAAAAAGTAATCTGCCATCAGTAAAGGGAAATGAAAAGGACCTCTGGAAAATAAAAAAAAATAAGTCTCCCTTGAAAACCCACAGCCTGTCCTCAGGTAAAATTGGGGTTTGAATTCACACTACTTGTATGGTCTGGAAAAGATAAGAATTAACTTTAAATGGCCCCAGGTACCTGGAAGAACTAAATAAAATTTTCTTCAGGGATAATCCCTCAAATCAAGGTTTTTGACACAAGACCTGCAATCATGAGCTCAGACATAACAAGGATTGTGAAGATGGCACAGAACCAGGCAATGTTTTCTTCTATACACGGGGTAACCACGAGCTGGAGCCCACTCCATGGCAACTAACAACAACAGATAGGTGAATCCCAGCCATCAGGAGCTCCCAATCCAATCTAACAGAGCTCATGAAGAAAGAAGCCACCATTAGTGAGTCAGCACAAACAATAAACAGCAGAATTAGATCCCCATAAAATTCAACTACTAGATTTATCAAACACAAAGTATAAACTATGCATATTTAAAGTTTTTAAAGATAAAAAT